TGGGTTCAAATGTAATGGAACCGCAATGACGAACAAGGCCACGAGTCATAAAAGGTTGGGAACCACTGTCATATAGCTTAATCATACTTGGAGCAGTTTTCGATGTAAAAATCTTCGCGTGGACGTTATGTCACGTGATTATTTCTGTATTAACAAAATGTTCACACCCTACATATATGAGAAATTTTGACGCAACCCAAAACATTTCTTATTTTTTTCCTATTGGATTGTTTTAAACGATTGAGGAAAAACCACAACAGTGGTTTGAGCTACGCTCCAACTCCAGCTTTATGTAAAATTGTAAGTATAGAAATGATTTGCGTAATAATTTTAACTTTGTGTAATCGTTTTAAAAAATAAACTATAAAGTCGGAGTATTCTAATTAGCTCATAAGAATTAAAATACATTCAAGTATCGATACTCTGAAATAGATAATGCTTTTACGGAAACACACAAAACAAATTAATCACAATGAAAAGAATCGTAAATTAGCGCTGATATGAGAAATTCCTCGCTATAGTCTCGAGGGCATATGAAAGCCATCGAACAGAAAACATAATCTTCTGTCTCACGAAAATTAACGCACATCAATTCATTTCTCAATTCACGATTTACGTAAGTAGCCGAAGATCACGAGTATTTGCTATCACGAGTGAGGATAATGTATTTTCAAACGTATTATGTATGATCATTTCTCATTTAGTGTATGCTATAATCAATTATACACAGTAAAAAATAAAGCGTACGAATTGACATCGCCCTTTGTTGTTTATTCTAGTGCTATTTCGTGCTGAATCTCTAATAATTCTTCAATTTTTGATTTAGTTCAAAAACAAGTTTCAGTTTCACACTTTAAACAATAATACACATTGACCTATTTCGTGATTTATTTTAAACAGAGAAGTATGAGAACTGCAACTTTGTATCAATTCCTCGCTTTTATCAAGAATAGAATTTACGTATTTATTACGGGGAAGAGGAATTTTGGTGATCATATGGCGAATCACGGCCTCTCTTCTGGTTACCAGTCCATGTCGGGTATAGGATTTGTTAGCCAGGTATTTGTTTCATATGAATAAACTTGAAGGTGGAGGAAGCCGTAACCGCCGGTTACGTGAATCACCATATGGTGGCGTGGCGTCTAGCAATCCTCACTCCACGCGGGATTGGAACCTGCAAACCCCAATGCTTAGCACGGTCCCACACTGCCGAGTCGAGAATTAAGGATCTATTGGCTAATACTTATGTATATTACTATGTTTTAAGTTAGGCAACACCATGATTTTATTTAATCAGTATTAGGTGCCCAATTCGATACCTTCTGAATTAGTTTCTGGACATGATGTCTGAATTCCAAGATTTCTACTTATGACGCTAACATAATCAGTTCAGTTTCGCCCACCATTTCAAGACAATCTGATAAGCTGTTGCATGGTATTCTCTAATTTGGTAAGAAAACATTTTCCGTATTAAATGAAATTTCGCGCATTCTAACCGATATAAAATGGTATATTCTTTGTGTTTGAATTTACAAGATGGCTTGATGCGTATTTACTTTTGCGGATGGGGGACAAGCATACTTAAGTTAGAATGTCCCGATTATGACATTGATTTTCAAATCAATGCCGTTGTAGAAAACACTCGCATAATCCCGCCACAATTTGATTATGTGAAGTCCATTGAAAGAAAAGTGTAGGCACTTCAATAGTTTGTTTTAAATTATTTCGCGCAAAAGATTTTATATTATGAAAACGCCGTTTATTTCATACCACACAAACACTTTTAGAACTCTTATGACCTGATATTCATTATTAAACAGAATTCGGCTTTTCAAACAGCCCACAAATAATACGAGCATGGTGTTTACGGAGCAGAAATAGCTTTTTTTATTTCTTATTTCAATATTAGTCACGCTATTGCGATGCTTGACTTGCCTTCTGGCAAAATGGAAACTCCCTTATCGACCCGACAATCAAACTGTTTATCGCGCGGGAATTTTAATCCTTATTACGAGATATTGCTTTAAACCGCGACCTCAAGAATTCAGTGCAAAGCTGCAATCTGCCAATTTATTTTTCTTATACATGAACTATGTATGAACCTACACACACAAGCAGGGGCGGTCTTCGGCTACTGCAACCGATTCGCCGCGATGGGCCGCGCGCTAATTTCTGGGTGTAAATTCTTAGTCAGCGTATTAATTCTGTACACACAAGGCTCGCAAAGTCAAGTTTTTGCAACTGTAATTTTATACTTAGTTATATATAATGATGATATTTTCTCTCGATATTTTATCCATACCCAGATTGGGCACCGCACATTCGGTTCGTTTCAATTCGATTTTTAAAAATCTCGTCGCAAAAAATTCGCCTCTGCTTTACTTAAATTCGTTTTGCCCGAATTGAGTCGATTTTTCGGCACTGGGAACAATTTTCAAACCTTGATACCAAACTGAAATATTTTTACCGGACGCATGGATGCTCCCGAAGTATGTGCACCAATATGGCGCACAACCTGAACATAGTATGTATACCAGGTTAAGGTATCAAATTATGTGCCATCTTGGTGCACATACTTCTGGGGCGCCCGCGCCAATTCTATAGGTTCGAATTGTTAGATTTATATTAAATTGTAATCACGAAGCGGAGTTATCCTGAAACTCGATTTAGTCTCAGGTAATAATATACAAAGACGAATTTATTCTTCATTAAAAATTATTAAATATCAGGTATTATAGTTATCCCTACCTAAACTGGGCCCCGTGCAACCATTTCGAATAGGGCCGACAATAGTCAATATCGGCCCTGTATGCCGTTTTTTTGATATTCACTTAAAACGCTGAAGCAGGTTTAACGTTAAATCAACATATTCTGAGAAATCCTCTTTCAGTGTAACTATAACATTTTATACAAACACGATTTTTGAAAATGAAAACACAAAGGAAATATACCTTTGTTTAATATAACCTCGAACCTTGTCAATACTCTGACTTCGTGTTGACTCAGCTTATAAGTTCACTTCGATTTGCGACGCCCATTCGACTCCATGGGCTAATTTTCTGACATTTTATTGCCTGAAATAAGTTTATCCGTCCACATGACTTAAGTAATGGGAACTTCTGAACTGATTATGGTGCAATCCAATCCCATTTGATCCCTCCCAATTTGAACCCTTTACCTTCTCCTTCACTCTCTACAGCCAACTGTTAGGTTAATAGCTAACTTGTTCGAATATCTATTTCAAGAATCTTTCTGTGTAAAAAAAGCTCAAAGCAATATTAAATGCACTCAACTTTGAAAGCTCACACATCCGTAAATTTTAAAAATACTGAATGTAACTCAACCGCGCTGTTTAGAATGGGCTAACAAACAGGAGTTTCAGAAAAAACGGTCGAATGTTGAAATTGCAATAAAATTAATTTTCGAAAAAATTACAAAGAAAGGTGTTTTAACCTCATCATGATGTGAACCAATTGGTATTTAGTATTAGTATTCAAAACCATAAGTTTTCCAAATTTTCTCAAAACATCTTTTTCAAGCTTCGCTCTTGACTTGAAGCCTCGATAAGCGCTTGTCAAATATATACAATGATTCAGAGCCATACTATATAAAGGGAATTTCTTCATCAAATTATAATGTAATCGTAATGCGATGTCTAAAATATTTGTCAATGTACTCAAGTTCTAATGTTTATAAAACATGTGACTTCGTAAAATTTCCCGAATTTCGCGGGATAAGTTTTCTTGCCTTGCGGTGTATATTTCACATGAGGGTGTTTTTTTCATGAATGAACATGTCAAAACACTTCAAAACAAGATATTTTATTTCAGATGCGTAATTTTAATGGTTTTGCTGTGTTTATAGCGTCTGTGAAAGCACATCCATTTCTTTTACAAGTACAAAAATGTCCAATTTCTTGTTACAATTTTTAAGTGTAGTTTTTGTTTTTAAATGAATTTTCCCAAAAACCGATACTTAGAGAGTTTTTTCTCGTGGCAACCAGAAACCCCTTCGTGATCCCCAGTAACCACTTATTGCCCCCAATGGACCAAAGGTCCAGTGAGAAACACATTGGCAATTTTCAGTTACATTATACTCAACGCGCTCGTTTGCTTGAGTGGGCCAATGAAATAAGCAAAGTGCGAGCGATTTGCTCCATGATCACGCTCTCAGTATTGCTCTGAATGATAGAATATCGGTCAGCTGTACACAATTTCATTGTCTTGAGGGTCTGGTGTATGCCGAACCGGGAAAGCCACAGTCTTTTTGATAGTATTGAAGCTGTGACTATATCAAGGCCTACTGGTCTAAAACCTTGCTAGGAATGAGATTCCAAAAATTTTATACTTAAATATTCCGACGCTTACACCACGAGAACAAGGTCTTGCAATAACTTAATAATACATGACGTAACTCATTACCTGACCCCCAGACCGGAAGTATCACGGAAGAAAAATACATTCAGGGTTTGAAAAATACTATTACAGTACTATGTCCTTCAATTTCCCTACTCGACTTACACCACTGGAATGGAGATGTGTAATAAGTTAATAACATGACGTACCATATTAAATTGACCCCGGATCGGAAGTATCACGGAAGTAATATACACTCTCGGTTTGAAAAATTCTTACCAGTATTATGCACTTTATTATTTTGACGGACTTACACCACTGGGACTAGATTTTGTAATAACTTAATAGCATGACGTAACATATTGCGTTCACTCCGGACCGGAAGTATCACGGAAGTGAAATACATTCTCGGCATATTTCACAAATACCCATTGAATTCCGAAAACAAATTTGGTCATCAAAGAAGGAAAGTACCATACGTCAATTGTATAACAAATGAGATCATTGTGTAACTGCAAAGCACGAAAAACAAGTAGCCTGTACTAGCCTCAGGGCTTATTAGGAAGGAAAATTTACCAGTTTTGCAGACTTAAAAACGCGTATCGCGGCCCAAAAATTCATAGTTCGACGAGCACCGCTGCGAGATTACTTTTGGAAGTTGTGGAAGACCTACAGGTGAATTAGAAAATTATATTCTGAGCCAAAAAAAAAACTTATAAATAGGCGGAAACTTGAGTAAAAGAAAAAACTTGTGACGGTTTAAAATTTGTGTTATAAGCCGATACCCGTGTAAAAAACTCTTTTAAATTTTCCTAAAATTGAAGTGTTGTTAGTAAGTAGTATGCAGGGTGTCTGAGAGGTCATTTTAATATTGTGAAATGTATTCTTTTTTCGAAATTATTAATGCCGGACAGTAAAGACGAGTTAAAGACATTTGGCGCCAGTATATAGAAACCGCTGGTGAAATTTAAACTACTCTGTGTATACTTTATATAAATGGCTTTCCTGGGGGTTGTATTCTGAATGGCGATTGGGATAATACAGGACGTCCATGAAGTCATGTTGAAAATTTAAATTTGTTATGAAGTCAGTTTTCAATATATCTTGACCAGGTTTGTGTTATTTTAATCAGTGATTCTTTAAGTTTTTTTTTCATTCATTAAATACACCTTTATATGCCCTTTGATATAGGACTTAGGAACATCCTGTATATCCATCCATTATCTGCTAACAAAAATCTATTTCAGCTGACTATTTCGCATGACCTTAATGACTTCAATGATGATGACTTTTCATTAGCTAAATTTAAGGAAGCCGGAACGAAATTTTGCAATAATTCGTGCAAAACGTTGCAACCGAGAATATTATCTCACTTTGCACTTTGCAGAGTCATTTCAGACAAAATATTCCATCGAATTAAATCAATTTCAACATAATTAAGTGAATATTTTATCCCAAGAATCGAAAACATAATCTCACTTCCTGGAAATTGAAGAAAAAGTATTAAAATGACCATGAAATTATGAGTCATTGGAATTTTTTTCGATTGATGAAATTCAAAACGATGAAATGATTAATAGACCTAAGTTACGCAATTTTCGTTGTCATTATCATTAGAAATCGTTAAATAAAACAAGCATTTAAATAAATCGGAAAACCTAATGTGCGCAATGGCCTATTGAGGCGTTAACTGCGTTGGCATCGCAGATTACACATTGCGTAAATGAACTTCGTATCAGCGAACGCTTGTGCCGAACCTTGATTGAAAATAAGCATTAATAAATTAATGAGTTATTTGATGGTTTTCGATTGGTTTCGACGGTATTTTGCACGTTTTATCGGCATTTTTGATGATCTTTACACGTTCTTGCGAGTTTTTTTTTATGTTTTTTCACGTTTTTTGCACGTTTTGGCGATTTTTTTTTTGTGTTTTCAACGATTTTTGTACGTCTTAGCAAGTTTTATGATGACTTTTGCACGTTCATTGGTTTTTTCGATAATTTTTGACGGATTTGAACATTTTATCGAGTTTTTTGATGGTTTTTGACGGCCATACTTTTGACGGAACTCGAAACTATAAGCCGATGAGTAAAATAAATTTTTGTAACAGCGTTGTATCCGATACGTCATCTTAGTCACGTTTCTCGGTGTCATTCGCCGATATATTTTGTAATATAATATTGATTATGAGCTCAAGCATATTACGGCCTTGGAGGTGAATGATTGTAATTAAGCTTGCTTAGCACTTAGACTTAAGTTGTTAACCTGTTACCAGAAAAGGAAATTTGGATTCAAGCGCCATTTTGTGATCAAAAGTAAATAAATTCTGTGGAATTCACGCCTATTTGTGGCCAACTGTGAAGCGTCCAAAAGAAATTCACGCCATTTTGTGTCTAAAGCTTTTATTATTTTAAACATAGCGCATTGCGAAATACATGTATCTTTAAAAAAAATTGAGCGAAACAACAGAAATAGAAAATTTGGTTCCAAATACCATTTTGTGTCCAACTGTAAAACGTTTCTGTTTTTACAAAAATTTATGCCCTTCTATTAATCAAATTTTTCGGTAATTTTAATGTAGCGAATTGCGAAATACATGTTACAATCACTGAAAAAGCCCCTTTTAACAGAGATAGAAAATTTGGGTTCAAATGCCATTTTGCATCCAAGTGTAGAGCGTTTCAGTGCGTTTTTACCAAAATTTATGCCCTTTTATCATTCAAATTTTTACAATAATAAAATTGACAATCACATGCAAATTGCAATACCGTTTCCTTCGTCCTTTGGGCGCTCTTGTATGTCACGTGACAATTCGAGGTATAAATAATCGATATCTGACCAGCTTATTCAATTCAGGCAATCCGTGACTAGAAGATAGCCGTGGTGTCTGTTTAAATAAGCCGGGACTACTGATGGTGTGACAGTCTTTGCTTGCAATTGTAATCTCGACAGATAAGTAATAATTCAAGCTAAGTTGATAAAAATAAAAATGCAGTTTATGCGTTTCGTAGATACATCGCGTATATTATTAATAAAAATGCGAGTTTCTTGGAATACGTTACAAAGTGTGCGTAAATTTGACTGATAACTGCAGAATATTTCGCGCCTTGTCCGATGTTTTAAGTGGTATTACCTTTTCTTAAATTAAATTATATGAAAACTAACCATATTTATTTATATACTTTACAGCTTAATATATATATTCATTATTTATCTGCAAAAGAACATTTTAAAGTCACAATGAATGTGTTTGTGACGTCATTTGTATTGCTGATCGTTTCGGCAGCGTCCACCAATTCGTTAAAATGCAAAGAAGGTTTCACAGCGAACGCTTTTGGCGTTCCCTTCTATCACTGGAAAGATAGAGAATGCAGTGCCGGGAGCGATTGTTTCGTCCAAGAATTGAAAACGAGTATGTTCAAGAATGATATGAAAGGTATGGAATTTGGTTTTTTCTGTCTTTCATGAATTTTTGCATATAAAGTTTAAACCTTCATTTTGTTGTGTTGACTATTTTTTCGTTGTTGAAAGCTTTGGTTGCGTTGTTTGAGAATCAAGGACTTGTCTTACACACACACAAAAGTACCATCCAAAAAGCTTTTCGAAGGCGCTCTGCATCAATATCTAAATATGTTTGGCACTATGTTGTATTGATACAAACGACCCATAACTGATGTTAAGTTTTTCATTATGAAATAACCTCCATAATAAAAAAGTTTTCATTAGGCAAAGTATCTGTAAAAAACAATATCCATATATTGATTAAAATTTATTTGACTTTTTTTTTCACGTTTTTTTTGATGATTTTTGCGCTTTTCATCAAGTTTTCTTGATAGTTTTTGCCGGATTTTTCCAGGTTTGAGCAGGATTTTTGATGATTTTCCACGTCATATAAAATAATAGACTCAATAGAAAATAATTCCCACTGTTATTTTGCAAAGTATATATAAAATATCACATTATTTATCAAAATCGAACATTGCAAACCCAAGTCCACTAACATTTCTAAATTAGAAACTTTTTTGTCCTATTCACTAATTCCTAAAATCGTTATATTTCTTATTCCAGTTGACTTCAAATTTGGAGGGTGCATTTCTAGTGCATACTCAGAGATGGTCACGTGTCAAAACCTATTTGGAACCGACAGCAAACTCGACCCTGAAACAATATTCAACATGGTGCCAGATCTGGACAAAAAATTGCAAGATTTTTCAAACGATCTAATGTTTAACGCCACTGATTCATTGCGCATGATGTTCTCAAATGGCAACGGTAGTCGAGAATTCATTCAAGGCTTGGTCACATTCCTGCAACATTTCGAATTTAAGACAGATAAACTAGAACAGCTTGTAGACCCAATTTCCAAATGCTGGGATTCCTTAATCGGTGACAGTGAATTTACAACATGGCAAGAATTCATGGAAATGAGAGAAAATGCCACGAATGGACTTCTCTTAGCATTGAGCAAAGTTGACACTGAAAACGCTAAAATTTCAGAAGACCTTTATTCTTTCTTCGGTAACTGGGGAAGGGTCGATATGGTTGCAATGATAAAGAACAGTTCCTACTTTCCACTTGTCGAAAATCTTCCCGGATTGGTAAAATATACTTTACCAGATTTTTTAAAAGCTGACGTATGGTATGACGTCATTTTTGATCTTTTTGGTGACGTCAGTGTTGAAAATCCGAAGAAATCTGCACAAGAAATGATCAAAACCTTAAAATCATTGATCCATATTCCCCAGGCATACAAAAAATATTTGGACCCGATCATCGATTCAATTCCGGATCTTGTCCAACAAATGGGGAAGGGAATGCACAATATATCGGAACGTGGATGGCAGAGCTAATGAAATCCCAAAGTAAAACAACCACAACGACAATGAAACTTTCGAATTCAGTATCAAATTTCGTCTCTAGTATAATGCCAGGGGAGTTGCCCGCGGATTTCCAAACTGCAATCACCTATGCGCCGGGATTGTTTTACAGTTTCTTCCCCGATAACATAAACGATATTGATCGCGTTTACACAGAATTAACAAGTGGATTCGATTCCATTGATATCACAAACCCGACAAAAACTCTCCCTACCACCAAAATGAGCGATTTTCCTTGTCAAATTCACTGATAAAATCATAAGTTATCCATCAGGCCCAGAGCACGATGCCGGTAAACAACTGAAAGATCTTTTCGTCATCAATTTCTCGAAGACATTTTACAACATTATGACGTCAAAATACACAAAGAAACTCGATGTCATCTTCGATACATTAGCAGAAAATTTGAAAAACTATCCCGACTTTGACATCGAAAAAATTGTAACTAATGTAATCAAAAACTTAGGATGGGATGTTCCTATCGAACTGAAACCTTTACTAAACACCGCCCAGGGTATTTACACTGCAGCACTGAATGGCACTTACGACGCAATAACAAAAGCTATTGATGATACCATACAAGCTTACAAAATCACTTTCCCAAAATCCGAAATACCATCTCTTATCGGCAGTTGGGTGGACTTCTACCATTTTGTATTTACCGGTCAACGAAGCTTAATGGAAGACCTGAATACCGCATATAATGGTTGTGATGCGGATTTAGAATGGGCCGAATGGAACGACTGTTATAACCGCAAACTTTATATATTCTTACAACGCCAGGTAATTTACTTCAAGAAAATTGCAACTAAGCAAACCTCTGTTATGATCGATACTTTTGTTGCCGCGTTCCACTTGCTGAACGGAAAAAGTGAAATCATTACCAACGCACTGTTGTCAGCTTTCCCTGAGTACTCAACTTTGATTCATTTATCACAAACTTGGAACATGGAGGACATAAAAGAACTCGCTACAGAGGTGACGAAATGGGCATACAATTCAACCTTAAGTTATCCACAAAAAATCAATATCACAGATCTGGTAGCAAACGTGAATGTAACAATTTTAAAGTTGACTGAAAAATACGTTAAAGACACGCAGGAGATCCGTTACTTACTGGCTCCCGAGTAAGTATTCTTACATGATTTGATGTTTTCTAGGTATTTTGACAATTTTCACTCTTCTGCTTCTTCTAAGACTGTGGTTCGGACTCCTGCATCTCTGAAAGTCTTTTGGGTGTTTTGATAAATAAAACAACCACTGCAGAATCTAGACCAGGGGCGTGCAACCCTTTTATACAGGGGGCTTCTTACCTATGAATGGCAAGGTAGCTCTTAGTAAAGGGCGTATAAAACGTTCCTTATAAAGATAAAAAAAAATAACTGACTCAAAGTCTTTCTCATATCTGAGAACTCGTATCTCCGAGTTCAAAAACCCAACAACTAACTGTTAATTCCTTTTCAGCTCCTGCAAGTACGCTTACTGTCCTAAAGATCTATGCAACACAGATGACTTGCTTACAACAGCGAAAGAATTTATTAAAACGGTAACAACGTCATCAACTGTGTCGCCTTCGAGTATGCCGTCATCAGCAGTGACGTCACCAACATCTCATTCAACCACAATGAGAAACTCTGGCAAAGATAAAGACCGTGTTTTACCGGATGAACCATCCCAAACCACAAAACCCAACTCCAAAGGAAAATTCCAGGCTACGACCACAGAAACCACCACCCTTGGTTCGGGGTCAGGAACCATTGGTGCCACAATGTTGCTCAATATTGCCACCCTGTGGTTTGCATGCAAAGTTATATTTTTGTGAAAACTTGGTGATTTCAAACGGAATTTTCAACATTTTTCTGCGACATTTTTGTCTTTTTCTATTATGCAAAAGTTCTCAAAATATGTAATCGCCTCATTTTGGCCTGCGATGAAATATGCCAAAACTGTTTTGAGTTTTTACAATAGAATTTGAATTTAGCTTTACACAAAAATGTACATTAGCTGTTTTATTTTAATTTATTACTGATTTAAATACATGTTTGATTTGTTTTACTTAAAATTTGATGAGAAATGGAATAAAGAGGGCGGGATATTTGAGCAATGTACTGTCTTATCGCGACCCACTTGGCGCGGCCAAGTTTTTCCCTTACGCGCCAGAACTAAAATAAAAATAAAGTGAAACTAAATACTACAAAATATATACAAATACGAATTGGCAATGCCTTCAATGAGGCCCGATGTACTTGCATATTCTCGCACAAAATATCAAATCTTGTCTGTATTTTGGTAGTAGTTGGTATAAGTGGGACCTAAAAAGTTTCATTTTGTGAACAATATTTACAGTGTTGCAAAAGCAAAAGTGGAAAATAACAAGCATCGTGGTAAACTAAATTTAATCGCAATGTGGTATTTGGTTCAAAATTTGATTTTAGCTTTGCTGTGTAAGCATCAGGCGGGCCAGATTGGATTACCAAACAGGCAGGATTTGGTTCGCGGGTCGTAATTTGCCCGTGTCAGGTATAAACTGTTTGGAATTGTCAAATCCGGATATCTCAAATAATAAAAAACGCATATCCAATATTACTAGTTTATTTACTATTATAACTAGATAATGCAAGTATTAGATATTCGAAACACACATGAATTTATTACAAATAAAAGTAATGAATGCATTTGAAGACATTGTGAAAATACCAAATAAAAATTACGAGCAAAAATTCCGCCACAAAATACCAATAAATATTCATACACGATGCCAAGTACATACACAGATTTAAAATGATAAAAAAAATTTCCTCCGAACATTTAGGGCAGTTTTTTATTCTTATTTTATCTCTTTTTTGATGGTTTTAAGTCCATTTTGGTTTTTCTGTATTTGGATTATATGTTTAGTTTTTTGGTGTTGACCATGAAGTCGAAATAAATCTTTTTTTTTTCTTTGCTAAGTGGGATAGACTGTTGCATTCCAAGCCTTTTGCGATATTATGAGTCCAGAAGAAAATTTCGGTTCGAGGCTCTCTTGTTTTTTCTTCTTGTCAGATAAAAATGGATTCCCATATATTTTTAATGGAAGTCCCTATTTTTACAATGCGATTCAGACAAAACATAATTTTCCTCCTAGTGAGATATTGATGAAACATGTTTCCTATTGTGTATGAAAGCTCAGTTAACTGTCTGGGTGATGGATTCTATCTAAGCATCCCTCAATTACACATGTATACGTATATAAACAAAATGACGTCGGTATTCAAAACAACATATTTTTATTGTTACATTATAGGTGCTATGAAACGAATCTTGCAGTTTAGTTCAGATTATATTTTAATCTCACAAAAGTCTGTCGTCTTATTCAGAGAGTGTTTTGTACGCCAAACACAAGGAGGCGACGTTGAGCAGGACGGTGGTAACGACATTTCCAGACCCGCTTGTTGTACTCGTTGGTTTGGAAGTTATGGTTTCATCACCCGTGATCTTTTTACTTGGTCTAGTATACGGAACAATGTTTGTGATACGTTCATGGCTGTTGCAAAGGTCACTGGAACAGGAAGTGTACTTGCAAGACCTGAAATAAAGAATATTAGCATTTATAAACTCTAGTGCTACTTGAAAGAAATTTGAGGTACACAAACAAAATTGCTCCGTATTATGTGTAGTTTTATTAATACTATCCAGTTATTTAGCAATTTTCTCACTACAACAACAACAGTGGTTCTCAAAGTTTCCCTTTTTTAGAATTTGTCAAGTCTCGCGCCCCACCTCAAAAATAATTAGCTAACAAAATCTACAAAAGACAGATAGTAAGACGAAAGTATGTTTTAATAAAAAAACACGTTGAAAATACGTGGATGGATAATATCCAAAATAAATAAATGTAGGTGTCTAGAATGAGACGGGCAAGATCAACTCTAAACAAATGTTTTCTTTTTTAATTAGCTCCACGTCCCATTAAAAAATTGGGTGCTCCCAAATTATGTGCACCAAGATGGCGCACAACCTGAACATAGTATGTGTACCAGATTATGGATATCAGGTTGTGCGCCATCTTGATACACGTACTTAGCGACTGGAACCTATGGACAGGGGGTATATTCACTTGGCTAACACAAATAGTCCCCGAACTCGTATATCGTAATAGAACTGAAATATGGAAAATTGGAATAAAACTATGGCCTAATCCTAACCTACTACGGGAGTACCCAATAATCCAGTAATAAATAGATACCAACAAATTGTACCTCCACGAAGCGGACTATACACCAGCTTGCAAGATTTGAACCAATCGGAAAAATAAGAAATATAGACCTGACTTGCAGCTAAATCATACTTACTGAGGTCTGTGGAACTCTCTAAGATCTTTCATTGCGCTGCTCAACTTGGATGTGATTTTGTAGACGGTTGCATTGACTGAATGGATAAACGCATCAAAGTTGTTCAGAGAAGGGTCTTTACTCATGTTGTACGTCCAATCGGTGTAGTCTCGTATGAGATCCTTGACGTCTTGTCTGTCTAGAAGTCTGATCATGTTAACGTAAGGCTCCTTAAATAGATTTGAATATTGATTACTTGGCGCTCCAGAAGTATGTGTACCAATATGAAGGTAACTTATTTTGTTCGCCTATTTTACATAAAGTTGTGTAAAGGGACAGAAGCCCATGGGCAGGGGGTATATTTACTTGGCTAATACAGACAGTCCCCGATACTCGCAATAGAAATAAAATGAGGAAAATCAGAATAAAACTATGGCCTAACCCTAACCTGGTACATACATTACGGGAATATCGATTGCTTTAACAGAAAAATGAGGTGATTGTGAGTAAGGGTATGGGAAGTAGTTGAATACTAAAATTAGTTTAGGTAAAGGAAGTTGAATAGGGAAACACTTTTGATTCAAGGAAATGTACTAATGTTTCATCCAAATCCAAAAGTCCATAATAAAATATTGTTTGAATATGATTAAACACCAAATCGCCACTATTAGAAACGGGGCCGTAAGGGAGTGATAGAAAAGTATGGAAAAATGAAAATAATATTAGAAAAAAGAATAATCGATTAAAAAGAGTTAAAAATGGTATAAAATCAGTGACGTCAAAACGAAAAAGAAGGGAAAATTTTTTTGAAAAAAAAGATAAATGAATGCGGAGGGAATTGTATTGATAAGAAAAAGATAAGTGACAAGAGGGGTGAAGGAATAGATGAGTCAAAGGACTAGAAATTGGTAAAATAAAGAAAAGGAGTAACAAGTTATTTAATAAAAATGTTAAGAGGTGCGAAGATAAATATTGGGCTCTCCAGACGTGTGTGTACCAATATAGCTCGTCTTCTTTACATCAAGTTGTGTAAAGAGACTGAAACGTATGGGGTATATTCACTTAGCTAACACAGACAGTCCTTGAATTTGTAATAGAACTAAAAAAAGGAGAATCGGAATACAGATAGGGGCGGAACAATGAAGATAATTTTAGGTGAATTTATACCTGGAACTCCAGTGGCATAAGTAAGTATGGTTGGACATCTGGATGTTTCTCTCCGTACTCAAAAATAGCAAAATATAGGTCAACTGCCCAATCGTTCACAGCGTCATAGTAATCTCGTATATGCTCACGCATTTTCATATCATTCTCTATGACGCATTTTTCAATATCTGTGGGCTGTATCTCGCTCAAGGATTCTCCAGTTTCGTACAATTTGAAGCACGTATACTTCGGAAAATTTTCGTCGTAGTTCTGTAATATTTGCAAGTAGTTTTCGGCTAATTTTGGAAATTCAGAATCTGGATAGTTTGTTTTGTAGTCGCCAATAAGATTGGAAAATACGTCGTAAAGGGCGGAATTTCTTCTATGATAATCCGAGATGGACATTGCGTTGATAACGTTTTGGGCGTTGTTTAGGATGGGCTCAATTTCGGTCGGTACGGTTTCTCCCATATTTGTAACCAAATCGACAATAATTTTACCAGCATTGAATTTTGGATATTCTTCAAAACCGTCTTTCAATGTGCGGAAAAACTTGTTCAAGTCCTCCGTATATTTTGATGTCATTATATTGTAAAATGTCTTCGAAAAATTGACGGTGAAAAGCTTTATCATCACTTGTGTGGGATCCGGCTCGGCACCCTCTGGTGAAGTATTAACTTTGTTGATTATCATCATTAAAAATTCGCTCAATTCTGTTTCTTCTAATGTGGTGGTAGGAGTCTGAAAATCGAAGGAATCAAATCCGTTCGCCATTTCAATATATACACGTCCAATGTCGTCTTTATTGGCCGGGAAGAAATTGTAAAACAATCCTGGCAGCCATTTAGCTAAATGCGTGATTAGAGGTTTACCAGCGGTCTGGGGTGGAACAACTTTGCCAATGAAAGAGTTTATTGCATTCGTTAACTTAGTTGTGTTTTCATTTGTTGTGCTTTCAGCTTGAAGGAGTTGCAATGACCATGTCTGTGCATAACTGAAATCACCAGTAGAAAGATGTTGGACCAAACTTGGTAATGTATCGAAAATTGGGTCTAAATATTTTTTATAATCTTCTGGAATACCCGCTGCCATTTTGATGGTTTTGATGACGTCAGCAGTTGATTTTTCAGGAGACCTAAACTTGATGTCTCCGAATATGTCAAAGATGATGTCATACCATTTATCGACCTCCCAAGAATCTGGAAGCATTGATTTGATTAGTCCTGGTAAATTGGTAATGAGTGCTGCATCCGGGTTTGATTTTATAATCTCGATATCTTCCGGAGATTGAATATTTTCCAGATACGAGAAAATGTTGGCGGCAATTTTAGGATTTTTTGTGTCTAGCTTTCCCAGTGCGTCCATCAATTGATTTTCCGATATCTCTAGTTCTCTGTAACTTCCCTCTCCTTGTCCAAAAGACTTCATAAATAAATCGGCTAACTTTGTTTTGAGTGGTTCAGCTTTAGCCATATTGAATCCCATGGCTTCCAAGTACTTGTAAATCCCGTCAATGAATTCCAGCATACTATCCCCATTCGAAAACAGCATTTTTAAGCGTTGGATGGAGTCCGCCTAAAAAACGAAGAAAATTGTTTTTATTTTATGTAGTCGAAGTCAATGATTCTCAAAGTGAGCAGTATCTCCCGTCAGGGGGAAGACGAGATAAAATTTGGGTTGGGAGTCAGATGGGTGGCAGGGGGCCATGGCATCATAGTTCTTACATATTATACATATATCAACTAATTGCACTGTGGGTAAGGTGGGAGGCATGGGATTTACACAGTGGTAGGATTCAGCCGGTTCTATGGAACCGTCTCACGAAATTTTATGAGATCAGCGAACCGGTTAGCCTTACTGAAAAAAACAAAACCGGCTGAAAAACATGACTTTTGTGACGGAGCCGGATGACAATAAATTGGAATCCCACCACTGGATTTACACCTAAGATTTGTAATCTGCGATGCAAATACAATTATTTCAAACGCTTTAAAAGCTAGGCCATCGCAACGCCATGTGAGAAAAAGCCTTGTTTCAAAAGAAAGTCTGGAAGAATTATAAAGTAGGGTCGTTGTCTCTTTAATACAGGCGATCCTAATACAAATAACTGGGTGGGACCGCGGGCCGCGTCTATTTTCAACATAGGCTTTCCAGTAGTTGCAATCACAAAAATTTAGTTATTCTAGTTAGGACATGTGTTGTTCGCTTCACACAAGCTGGTGTAACGTCACATGATAAATTGTACTCAGGTAAAGACTTCGCAACGCAAAAGGATTGTAATTACTCACACGTAACAGATTAAACTAAATCAAAAACTCGTTTCGCGGGCCGAACACCATACAAAACTGGCACTTCTCCGCGTTGCATAATGCAGCACACAAGGAAAAATCTTGCCGCCCGCGGAGAAGTGCCAGTTTTGAATGGTGTTCAGCCCGCGAAACGTGTTTTTAATTTAGGTTGCACAACCCTGTCATAAAGCACCATCCTGAAAATGCACCGACCTGAAAATCCTTCACCATATCGTCAACCATGTCTTCCAAATCAGTGAACATGTTCATTAGCACTGCAGGATTGAATGTGCTTTCAGGTCCGAAAAGATTTTCACACGTGATTAAACCCGCGTAGGAACTGGATATACATCCGCCATATTGTACGGAGGCTGCAGAAAATAAACAACATTATTTGAATGTTATAATTATTAGAGTTTAAATATCGCCACAATAAAACAAAACTAGTTTATGTCACATTTTTGCAGAAATTGACTTTTTTTCATCTTGTGTAAGTATGGACCAAGGGAACCTTCTTCTTTAGTTTTGGTTATAGATAATACCTTATGTCCATTTTCAGATTTGGCTGTTATTTGGCAAAATTATTACATAAACTCGATTCCCTCGAAACCTTAAAATTCTGCATACGGTAATTAGGTTCATCATCGTCAAAATGGATCGATTTGTGGAATTTCTGTTTTTGCTGTGGGAAAAACTCTCAAAACAAGAAAATCAGTAATTATCCAATTATGGTTATGATTGCAGATTGCGCTGAAAAACGTAAATTATCAAATCATTCCTAACATTAACTAGATTATTACTAATTGACTAAATGTAGCCAGCATCACAAGTGTGAATTTTATCTACAAGAATGACTTCTTGAATTGGTCATCACACCACTGACTGGCAAGTTGGGGGCATTGTATTTTTGGATTCGAATTTACTGAGTTCTCAAGAGAAATATAGTCGTAAATATAGTTTGAATTGATTCAAGAATTTGTGTTTGAGGCGAAAGAGGAAAAAAGAATTTCAAAATTGACAAAGGGAGTGATGTGTTACACATTTTCCAAAATAGTTTCCTTCAACAAGTTTCATAATATGGCTCCGGTACCAACAAAAGTTCTCCGACCACAACTTTAGTGCTTCACTCCAGACGTCTCACCTTTCATATTTTTCATAAACGGCTCTGCAATCTCTTGGCTGAAGCATTCGCTACCTTTATCACAAATCCTTTCCGTCCATTGGTAAAAAGGAATAGTCCCAAACGTTGCATTGACTCCTTCCTGGCATTTCAACGACCGTACAGACGCGACCAAGCCAACAACGATGAATATTGAAAGAAATCTTGATAACATTATCAGAATATATTTAGTGTGTACTATACAACTGTCAATAGTAGGTGATAGAATACAGTTGTTATAAGAGTAGACATGTTTTAGTCAGTGGTGGGATTCAATCTTTTTGTCAGCCGGTTTCACATATGTCATATTTTTCAGCAGGTTCTGTTACAAAAAGTCATGTTTTTTCAGTAACTCTAACCGGTTCGGGTCGGTATAGTTCAGGGTTACCCAAACTCAGTGTTACTAACGCTCAGTTCTCCATTATATTTCTATATTTTATTCTTAGTAGCTCTCGGCCGTAAGTTCGCTCAAAGGTCAATTTCCTTTATTTCTGAGTGAGAGCGTATGACTCTGCTTTAAACAGATTATTTTTAAAGAAAAATTCATAAAATTATACGCCAGTCATAGGTTCTCAAAATGCTCCAGAACCCAGATAGATTCAGATCAACAGGACTCCGTGACGGAAACCCATGCTCCGCGAGCTATTTGTTTACATATTAAAATACTGACTGCGCTAATTTTGTAACTTTCCAAAGAAGCAGTACCACCATTATTAAAATTTGACAACGGTAGTGTCGAAATGTGGCAACAAGGCGGTAATTCAAATAAGACATTATCAATAAATTCCAATAGATAATTATTTTTCTATAAATATATTGTGGGGCCCCTTAAATAAATCTTCACAGCCCCCATAACACTAAAAGTATAACTCCCTGCGATACATAACTAAATTATACAAATAAGTTCACAAAGTTACAAAATTAGCCAAGTCAGAATTTTTATAAGTAAAGGAATAGCTCGCGAAGCCCCTATGTTTCTCTCACGTAAACCAGGTGTTCCACATGTAGCACTCTGAGAACCTATACGCTAGCTAGACCACTAAACTATCCAAATATATTAGCTCTAGCCTCCAATCTCGATATTATTATATTCTACCCTAGCCACAAGTCCCCCACACTCACGAAATTTGCATATAAACTTTAACCACTTAATTAAATTTATTTAGCAATCGTCTTGGGATGATATAAAAGGTTTCTTATGTTTACGTTGAAGCTTTCTTAATAATACAAGATAGAAAGAAATCTAAATTTCACAAATAAATAATATTAACGCTGTATATTTGGCACATAACAAACATATTAATAATGGAGTATGGCTACAAGGCGCTGATTGAAATATGGCATTATCTATTGTAACTTATAGATAATGTCATATTTGGATTACTGCCTCGTTGCCACATTTCGACGCTACCGTTGTCAAATTCTCAAACTTCTGGTGTTATAGAGCTCGTGAAGACGTTGAGTATTATTTACGGAAGCACACAACAACTCATAAAATGAAAAACACATCGTTAGCGAAAAAAGTTTCTGAAAAAAATAAAATTTACTTTACTTAAATGACCAAGATGAAATTAGGAATCCAACCAGGTAGGTGTTTAACTAAGTAAACGAATAGCTCGACCCTAGGTTTCTCTAACAAAGCCGTGTGGTTCTGTACGGAGCACTTTGAGAACGCTATAGACCACTAAACTATCCCAATATATTCGCTCTAGTCTCCAATTTCGATATTATTATATTCTGTGCCCTACGTACGAGACCTTCACGCTCATGAAATTTGCATATAAATTCTACCACTCGATTAAGATTACAGTATATGACAATTGTCCAGGGATCATACTTCAAAGGTCTCTTACGTCTAAGGCGGGAAAAAGATTTGGTCACAGTGGACGTTTTCCTTGTCTGATATTCTAATTGTCACAGAAATTTCAGTAAACTATACGTATAATATATAACTTTTTATTTAATATCTGACATTGTTGCTCGTTCGAATCGCTTCAAAACGCTCCTTATAAGGAAATTTGCTCAAAGCAAGGTCACGCTCATTCACTCAGAAAATAAAGAGATTGTTGTTGTTATTATATGTTTTATTTCGCTTATAACTACAGTGGCTTTTGCGCCATTGATCAATTCAAATTATAATCCTATGCTAACATATTATACAATATTTACAAATAAATAATTCTACAATTAAATCAATTATAATAAGTAATGAATCCCAAATATTTCTGCCCGTGGACAAAACAAATTCAATTCCAGTTTCAACGAGAATATCGGTCAGAGACCGAAGACTTATCGATCGAAAGTTAGGGGATCCCCTAAACAGCGCTTATTCCATAGTGACACCTTGTGTCCCATTACTAATTGATCAATAACTCGCTAATTATACGACATAGTTCATCCAAAATCAATAGGCTTCTTGTCCGAGATATGATAAATGTACATGCGAAATTTGGAGCAGATTCAACCTCGACTTCGTGAGATATCGCGTTCATATAACAGACGAACAAACAGACACACAGACAAATACCTATCAACATACTTACCGATCTAAAGATCGATAAGTAATAATGTCCATGTTACATTATCTTTGGACGAAGTTATCGATAAATCTAAACTTCCAGAGCTACTGAGACTATAAACGAGAATATCGGTCGGAGACCGAAGACTTATCGATGAAAGTTAGGGGATCCCCTATTCATTCACTCTGACTCTATAGTGACACCGAGTGTCCCATCACCAATTAATTATTAATTCGCTAATTATACGACATAATTACCTCCAAAATCAATAGGCTTTTGGTACGAGCTATGGTGAAGGAACATTCAAAATTTGGGGCAGATTGAACCTCGCTTTCGTGAGATATCGCGTGCATCTAACAGACAAATACCTATCAACATACTTACCGATCTTATGATCGATAAGTAATAAACAGCTGTAAGGCAGTGAGTTCCAAATAACCGTAACCCCGAATAAATCCTTTTTTCTGTCTGCGTGGTAAGCCCACTGACAGTCAACGATGCGAGCTTGCATTCTACTGAGTCCGACGACTGAAAACCTTTCCTGTGGCACTCTTGAATCTACTTTTCAAAAATCGAATTTAAATTCACCAATTTTATCTTATTTCTGACAGTTTTACTCGCACATTCATGGTAGTATGATAAAATTCTCCAACTTTTTTTGCCCCAAAACACCTGTCGCTTTTCATCTCGCCTCGAGGAACACCAAGAAATTAGAAAGTGAAATTGATAATTAGAAAATTTTGTAATGAATTTACTTTGTGCATCAACTCGCACAACCGGCTCATCACAGCATCCTTTGAGGCTTTCAATCAGTTTTAAGCTAACAATGTATTGTAATGTAGACTTAGAGGATGGTTTTCAAAAAATTTAGTATACGATGAAAATGAAATTTAGTCGCAATTTCGATTCCTGTTCCGCGGAACACTATGAAGAAGCTCGCGGAACAGTATTCCTGTAGTATGCAAATCAAGATTGCGGACACCGGAAGATAGTATGTGTACCAGGTTAGGGTTAGGCCATAATTTGAGGTACAAATATTACGGAAGTCGCTTGTCCGCCATCTTGATTCGCATACTACAGGAGTTCCCGCGGAACACAGTTTGAGAAGCGTTGTAGAGATAAATCAATTCAATTCGCACAGAACGTTTTTACAATAGTGCCAACCATCCTAGCAGTACTCTTGAATCTAACTACGTCTTAAAAATCGAATTTGAACAAAAACCGTCATTTCATCAGATCCATGACAAGTTGAAATAAATTATTTAAGACGCGGAATTCGATTTTACGTTCATGCAGTTGCATTGTAAATCTAGCAGACCGTGCTTTATGACAACACCCGACCTAGAAATTTTCATAATTTCGGATTTCTAATAATGCTACCCATGGGCAAAACATTGAAATTAAAAGTCCTGTCACATAATTATTTTAATACCTTTAAATGCCACTAAAAGTACTTTATTTTTAAAGTGGGTTTCTGTAATCTCGTTGTATTGATTTTTAGTAAAAGTCCCGATTCGGTAGACCGGATAATGAAATGCAGAATTTTGTTTTCATTCAAGACTCAGGGGCGTAAAATGTATTAAAAAATTGTGATTCATCCGCAGAATCATACAAGATCTACTCCTATTTCGTACACTTTTACTTATAAAAATATATAGGCTGGTATATATAGGGTAAATGATAGGGTAAAATATATAGGGTATTTTTAAATTTTTTCAAATTGGAAAGGGAATCTATCGATACCCGATATTGTTTTAGCACTCACAGATGTATTAAATGACATTAAAAAAAAACTTAAAGAATTACTGATTAAAAAACAACAAACCTGGTTAAGATTTATTGAGAATGACTTCACAACAAAATTGAAATTGTAAAATATCCAATCATTAAAAGTGAAAAATCGATCATAGTGTTTCTAGTAGCATAAGCATATTGGGTTATTGAGATCTGAACTGTCATTAAAATGAAAGTCAACCTTGAGTAAAATTGTATTTTATTTGTCCGATTTTTACTCGGACAAATTTCCCAGAGACACCGTTTTCATGAGTATGACGAGGTCCGCCAAATCAAATCGATGATTTGAAAATTACACACAACAAAAAATAAGATTTACGATTAATTCGCATTTGAGTCAAATTATCTGGCAATTCTTGCTAAAAAAATAAATAAGAAATTCAGCTCTGAACGTCCATATTCCACAGGATTATCCTTCATCATTTTTAACCTTCTGTTTATTTGGCAACCTTAAAGACCGAATCAGGGGAGACCATTCAAATGACGATTAGGGCCAGATATCCATTCCTATTCCTAACCCGATATGGTATAGCAGCGCAATATCCCTATACGGAGGAGGCAATTCTAATCACGACTGAGAGCTTAGTATCTTTCGCTATACTTAACCTGCTGTCTACATGTTAGTCTTAAAGCAATCTTAGAAGAAAGCCATTCAAATTATAATTGGAACCATAAATCCATTTCTATTACTATCCTACTGTCTATATGACAGTCCGATAAATTTCGACGGAAAAGGCCATTGATTACGATTACAATATAAATCGCCATTTTTAGCTTACTGTCTTTGTGGCAGCCCAGGAACCATTTACAGAGAAGAACATTCAAATTGCGATTTATATTTATCCATATACATAAACTGCTGTCCATATGGTAGTCCAAAAACCGTCTAACGAAAA